ATTTAAAATAACACACCCAGATTGAATCAGGAGGAGAAAATAGTTAATTCAGCATTAAGTCGCTGGAGCGTGTCAATTAAGTCATTAAGTCATTAAGTTAACTATTGGAGCGAACAAAAAATACTTTCCAAAAAATAATAATTTAGGTTGGCAGTTTATGTGCGTGAACTTCTCGTCGTGTTTATATATAATATTAAAACTGTGCGGCTCGCAACAGAAAAAAACCCTGAAGCTACCAGCTGTTCTATAAATTTATTTAAAAAAAACTACTGATTGTTCCGACGATTTTAAAAATGTAGAGAAGTTTTGTATTCGGGTATGTTTTTTTTTTGTTCCGACCATTTGAAAAATGGGTAGGAGCTTTGTATTCGATTGTTTAAATTTTTTTTGTTTGCCACGCAAAATCAGCTACCACAAATAATCATCAGAGAGAATTCAGTGATCTATCTTATTGAAGCCCTTACAGTTGTGATTTCAGCGACATTTAAAAATTATTAAAAAAACTTTTCCAGTGTCGAGAAAAACCTATTGAAGTTTTTGTCTCAGTTCAAGCGAATAAAGCAAGCGAGTAAGCTTATAATAGCTAGCTTTAACGGCCTGAAAGATTACATTGGCTCAAATTAAAATGTAATGTTAGTTTTTTACAGTATTTTAGCCTTTTTGTAATTAAAAGTTTCAAAAAAAAACAAAAAAAAAACTGAAAAAAAAAATTCAATTTAATGTGTAGTTTTTTTGAAAATTTTAATTATAAAAAGCCTAAAATACTGGAAAAAACTAACGTTAAGTTTTAATTTGAGCCAATGTAAGCTTTTAAGCCATTAAACTAAGTTATTATGAGCGTACTCACTTGCTTTATTCGCTCGAACTGAGATTTTTTTTTGATTTTTTTTTTCGTTTTTTTATCCATTTTTCTTCGAAACTTATATTTCAATTTGTTAATTTCACTATGACTGTCGAATATGCCTAATCTCTAGTTTTTGTCCCCAATTTTTGTCACAATGCCGAAAAAACGACTTTACACTAATTTGAAAAAAAAACTTTTTGGATATAACTTTTTTAAGTCTATGGTCAGAACATTCAGTGCTATTTGCAAAGTAACAAGCTATCCTTGTTTTTTTCTTCTTTTTTCCATGAAAAAAAAACAGATACCACCAATTATCAATGGAATGGGTCGAGTGGTAAAACAAATTGAAGCCCTTCCAGGCGTAATTCGAACGACATTGAAAAGTTAAAAAAAAAATTCTCAGTATTGAGAAAAGCTGGTTATTGATTTTTGGTTTTTATTTCACTTTTGAGCAAATAAAGCGAGCGAGTAGGCTTAAGACTGCCCTATTATTCTTAGCTTAAGCCCTGAAAACTTAATTTTAAACAGTAAAAATCAGTTTTTAGAGTTTTTTAGCGCCATTATGGGAACAAAAACTTCAAAAAATTGATACTCTGCCAAAAAAAAACAAGATAAGACCAATAATTAGTGACCAGCAAAGGTAACTGATAAGACCAATAATTTGACCGCAAATCTTATGGGTTGATATTGAAACTCGGGATAGTTCTATACGCTAAATAATTTGAATTTATTCTTTCATCAAAATAGATAGATGTTCTTAAGAGCGCGAATAACTTATTCAAAAACATAGCAAAACTGTCCTTTTTTGTTAAAAACGGTTTAGATCTTCTTTGTGGTATAAAACTAATTGTTCAATCATAGAAGTTGGTTTGAATACGAAACAAATAAACCGAATAAAACTTCAGTTGCTTCCTTCCAAAAGTCGGAAAGAGCAATTATTTTCCACGTTAAACAAAAATTGATATATCCTTCTTGTGTAATGTTTGCAAAGAACCAGACTGAGCAAAACCTGAAAATTTGAGTTTTAGCCTAAGATAATAGCTTTATTTTTTGATGACATTTTAATTTTTCAAATCATATTTTAAAAAAATCAAAAAAATATTATCTTTTAATTTTTTGGTTGAACCAAAAGGTGAAGCAAACATAAACCCTAATAAAAGTTTCATCAATTTAATTTAAATTCAAGGTTTTGATAAGTTCCTTGTCAAACAAATGGCTATCTCTTCAATTGCGCAAGGAGCTGTACACTTCTTTATCCCTGAAGACAAAATCAGCGGTTTTTTGGGAAATAATTTAGCGATAACTTATTAAAAGTTCTCTGTACTTGAAATTTTTCAGTATGATAGCTTGAAATTTTCATCGGAAAAGCGTTTTATATGCTTAATTTTTTTAAAAGCCACTAGTTTGAGTTAAAAGTATGATGATTGTGGACAAAGAAAAAGTTTTGTGCTTCTCTCCTCAGTTTTTTTTAGTGAAATAATGAAAATTCAATCAATTCTTATCGTTCAAAGTTTTTTCATTTATGTGGAAACTAAGTATCATTTGTTTAACTTCAACAATTATGTATGTTCTGGAAAATTTTAACGGCAAAGTCAAGCTTAAACAAAGGCGATTAACCTTCCTCCAATATCGATTTTGCTCCAGCTACTAAACTGTCATGCCGATGGTGCTACAATCTTCCAGTCCCAGTGACCGCTATTTAGTTCGTATTTAGTCCGACTACGATTCAGTTAAGAGAGAGCGTCTGTCTCTGGGACGCGAATATCGAACAAAGCCGCTGACTGCTTGTCTCAAACACCACGAGCCATAAGATCCGCAAGTAGCACTGGGGCACTACTTTCACTATCTGCTTTTGGATAATGGCTTCCCGTTTCACGTTTTTTCAAAGCCTCCAAGCCAGATCTCCTATTGCATCCCGAAATTCACCAGGAGCCATAAGATCCGCAAGCAGCGCTGGGGGACCATTTTCACTATCTGCGTTTTTGATAATTGTTTCCCGCTTCACGCCTTTTCAAAGCCTCGAAGCCAGATCTCCTATTGCATCCCGAATTTCGTTATGGTGCAATGTCACCCACCCACTTTCTTTGCAATCTTTGCCAGAGAGAGTGTTGCATGACAAACTCTTATTGACAAGTCACATTTAGAGTATGCTACATATAGTGTTTTTTTAACCTCATTTTCAAAGCACCTCTGACTTTTACTTCACCACACTGGTAAAACTATCAGCACTTCTCCCAGTCTGTTTCTATCCATTTCATTCTGTTGCTCTTCATGGTTTCTCCTTGCTGATCTCGTGTTGATTTAAGCCTTCCTGGCTTAAAATGGAAATAATCAGACAAGATGTCATTTTTCCCGAAGTGGAAAAAACTAAGTTGGAAATTTTAATTGGGTTCTGTACTCCCAAAACTCCTAGTTTTGCTAGCAGAGAAAACAGAGCGCGGACCGTGTGTGCAACACTAGAGACTCCAAGGATATTGGGCACAAATATTTTGTCCAATATCTTTTCTCCTCAATTTAATATGATTCTGAGCACGTATGTATCACTAATTTAACGAACTATATTTAGCTGCAGATGAGAAAAAGAAAATAAGTTCTCAGTTAAACCAATTGGTTACTGACTATATATGTTACAATTTTACTTGCAACTGTATCCATTCTACGTTTCGAGTCAAAACACTTATACATGAATTTTGTTATAAAAAATAAGTTGTCATGGTTTCTGTGATTCGCAGATAACCATTTGAATGCTACTTTTGCTTTCTTAGGATAATCCAAATGTCTAATCACCCTAAATTTGAGACTGAAATTTTTTTTTCGACTCAATGTTCTTCTATTGCGTCCAGAAATTTCACTTGGTACCAATATTGCAACCGAAATTGGTCAGTTTGTGTCCAAATTGGCCTGAAGCTAGAGATCAAGTGATACCTAGTCATCTCACACGTTCTTTGCGACACCAGGTACACCAATACACGATTTTACGCTTTCTAAGTGAACGACTTATCACAAAGCTAAGAGGTAAAAATAAATATCTATTTTCCCTACTTTTGATGCTCATTTGATCATTTCCTTTTTAGAGGCACAAATAATGGCAGATCCATTTTTTAGGCTCTTAGATGCAAAAAGTAGGGCCTAATTTGATTAGTGTATGGAAAACTACGCTTCAATTGCGGAAAAGAGCAACGATTTCTCAATCCCCCCAAAAAATTCTAAGGTGGTGGCTAAAAAATTTTTCTTGCTGCTCGTAAAGCGATTTTTCAAAAAAAAATTAAAAACAGATGAGTCAGTTTTTTTAAAAAGCACGAAACTAATTTGCTGTTTGTGTCATTTCAAAAATGTGCTTTTTGTAAACGTTTTTTTTTAAGTTGAAAACATTTTGGAAGATTTTGCACAAAAAATTGCGTATTTAGCGCCCCTTAAGTATTGTTTTTATTGTCCCCTGAGACGCGTAGAGAAACTCTCAGTTGAATGATAAAAGTACAAGATATAAAACAAGGCTAGCCGGTTTTCGGGCAAGTAGCACAAAATATTGAAAAATGAGTAAAAAAACAAAAGAATAAAAAAAACTTTCTTTCATTTTTTTTTGCAGATGTTTTTTGTGTATTTGAAGTTTTTGATTACCAAAAAGGCATTACAAATCTCCAAAGATTAATTTTACTAGAGTAAAATTTTAATTAGGCTTGATTAAGCCTTGGTAAACGGCCTAATTTAAGCATGAATAAGCCTGCTCGCTGGCTTTCTTCGCTCGACCTAAGACCAAAACTCAAAAATTTCAAACCCGTTTTTCTCGGCAGTCGTTTGAATCACAACTGAAAGGGCTTTAACCCGATATACCACTAAACCCAGTCCTATGAGTACCTGATGAGTACCCTATTCGTAGTACCAGATTTTGCGTGGAAAACGAAAAGAAAAAAACTAAAACATAGCCGAATACAAGTTTCTCCCCATTTTCAATGATCGGAACATTTAGTTTCCAACTATATGTTAACAAATACACTTAAGACCACGTCAAAGGGGTCTAGAAGTTCAAAAAATTATTTAAAAAATTATATGAAATGTTGGTAGAACTTTTTTTTGCATCGAATCCAAGCTTAATTTAGATAAAATTGGAAAGATATGCCGATATGCTTCGCCATAAATTAAAATATTTAATTAGATTTTATTTGGCTTGAGTGTATCTCAATTCATATTCGCTAGCTTCGCTTTGGTCTTCATCTTTTTCCACATTCTGATTAAGTGCGTTCAACTCTTCCGACCTTGTCTGACTCGGCGAGTTATTCAAACAATTAGCGTACAAAGACGCGTAAAATTGCACTAAATTCGAGTAGGCTGCAGCATGATTCTGAATTGGTCTGATTCGTGACTGAAGGAATAAATTTGCGCCTCCTGTGGTTGGTGACATGTCAGATTGTGATGCCACGAAGGGAAGTCGTGGCACTGCAGGGTTCGAAATTGCAAGTTGGGGTCTCAGGAGATTGTCTAATTTGAATTGAGGGGAGTTGAAGTTGGGTACTTGTGGTACGAATGGAAATGGTTGAATTAAGGGCAGACTATGTGCTGGAATCAGAGGTGGTGGCAATGAACTCATGATTCTGCTGCTGCCTAAAATAACAAAAAAGTATTTTCTTCAAATTTACCGATCGGCTTCATGTCCGCTCGAAGTGCGCAAATAACTACGCTGTAATATCTTTTTAAAGAAAAAAGAGTGTTTCCTCATTTCTTGACACCCATTGAAAACTTCAGCAGCCAAAGTAGCTCTTTTTCCTCACCACCATACCCCCCCCCCCACCTCACACGAGCTACAATATATTAGTGTAACAAGTGGCTTTACGAGGTTAAATATGAAGACCAAATATGTTTGTCGTGGCCTTATTAGTCTGCATGTAAATTTTCATAACAATCGTCATACAAATTTACATGTAAAATTTGCAAGTGGGGGGGGGGGGGAAGGAAAAAGAGCCGCCAAAGTGTAGCATCGATTGACATGTAATATAAGGATCACGCGACCAGATAGAATTAAACTAGACAATAGCAAAGTTACCGGAGATGCTCCTTTACCTGTGCTACTGCTGACAGTGCCATTCGGTGACTCCTCGTCATCTGAGATCAGCAATGGTTGCTGGAGTTGACTGTTGGAGTTGAGAGGGGTAGGACGGGGCGGATTTGTAGCACCCAGCTCGACTAGTCTCTGCATCTCGCTGTCTTGTCGTCTCCGAAGCGCAACTTGCCTCGCCATAACACTGCGCCGCTCTCTAAAACATGTGATTCGAAACATTTTCAATCCGGAACTGATAAATCGCTGAGGCTAATCAGCTGAAAAAACATTCGCGCATTTTAATAAAAACAGTTATTACCTTCTCTGGTAAAAAAAAAAAACTTTTTTTTTCATTTTTCAATGGAAGAACTCACAATAAAAGAAGACACTTCTCACAGACACACAGTTTGTAGGGACACCATAACTTGTGGTTCTTCAGTTTCTCGCAGCGGCCATGGTTGCGACATCTGCCACAGTGCTGTTCACGTTTCTGCACCCTGTCCAAGTGCTTCGGAGGAGAAGAGGAATCACCGGGAGGCTCCTCCGAACTACCACCTGCAGCCTTGCTAATTACACGATGGGACATTCAATTTACTGTTTTTAAATAGCTACAACCTAAACTATGATTTTGAACAACTGTCAGTTGAATATTACACTAGATACCAAGTTCACTAAAGGAAATTAGCTCGAGTAAGTTATGACGCAAAACTCAAGTTTTTGTTTCGAATTGTCCGATAAATTTGGACTGACAATGAGTGCAACTCTTATCGAAATAAAGTGCAACCCCAATGCTGTGTTAACTATCCGCATTTTAAATTAACTTTCGTGTTCATAGCCCACTTTTTGAAACTTGAGCCCAGACAGGAGAATGACGTGAGATACTTTGAATTCATATCTCTTTAAAGGAATCTACTTTTTGCTTATCTAGATTCCAATTAGGTTAAACACATCTCCTTGGCGCTTTGAGTCCCTTAGTCAGACGTGTAACCTTATTTACCTCTTGTTTCAGATTAATCAAATATTATGAAATTAAATCACATCAAGAGTTGAAATGATAGTTCAGATTTATCTTCCGATGATTATTACTCATGAAAATAATAAAAACAGTGACTACGTGTACGTTTGTTTTGGCCATTCAATATAATATCACATATCAGCTGGAAATTTACCAAATCCAACGAACTGTCCAAAATCGACCCAGTTAAAATAGCTGGGAAGTGCAGTTCGATTTTTGTTCAGCGGGAAAACGTCAGATGCAATTTTAATGATACATTCACCGACCAATCAGTTAACTTTCGATGGAATCGAAATAATAATTTTCGGTGATATATAGCTTTTTCAGCACACCGTTTTTCTACGGGTTGACATATTCGGCCAGTATCCCAGACATTTGAGAGTCCTGTAATCATTTACAAACCTTTTACAAAAAAAACTATTAAAATTATTAAAGGTCTTTCATTTTTTTGATATCAAATGATTTCGAATGATTACCCGATTCTGGGGATCACCCAATTTTTTTTAGGGATCACGGAAAATCAATGACACGATTTTCAGAAAAATATTAAGTTTGAATTTGGATTTTGGATTTTAACAAACAATAGAAATAGAACTTGTTAAAAGAATTGAGCAAACCGAAAAAAAAAGAATCATTTTTAAAAACTTGATCAAAATTTTGAACTGAAGTCTTTGAAAAAGCCTGAAACTCTCGGGTATATCAAAAATACCAAAATTCAACTTCATTACACAGAAGAGAATCAGAGCTTCGCATCACTTGTGCTACCACACAATTGCATGACAGACTAGCAGACAGAATTGATACGGAACCCGCTATGTCGAAATTTGTGAAAATGTCAAGAAAGTCTGGATCTAAAAAAATTGTCATACCAATATCTCAATTTGTCTTGAATAAAGCTCACTTGTCAATTGAGATAATTGAAAACTACATTCGCATCGAAACAAAACTTACGAAGCGGTAACTGCCAACAATTTTTGAGCGGGCATTCGTTGAGCCAAAATATTTTTTTTCGAAAACTCGAATAAAACGGGTATTTAAAACTCAGACATGCTCAAAATATGTCTGTTGATTGCCGATCGATCATATTCGAGAAAATATTTCAATGATTTTGTTCGACGAATTGGTGACAACAAAAATTTAGTTTCGAATTGATAAAGCTTGCTAATCGCCAGCATAATTTGTACTAATTTCGTGCATATTAATCCATGGAGAAGAAAATTCAAAAAGCTCAAAAAACAACACTCCGAAAATATCTTGTAACTCAATTACCGCCACCAATGAGGCTTTAGAAATAGCATACAGAAAGCTAGGAAAGTTGAATCTTCAAAAAGAGTCCGAAAATGAACAGACGGAAATAAAGGATTTTTTACGCCTCTTTATGCAATTTTTTACGCTCCGATCTAGACTGTTTATGGCAGTTTCACGCTGCGAATGAAAAAAACTACTGAAAGTTTTACTGGTGACACTCACTCGTGTTATGCAGCATAAAAATTACATTTAATTGATTTAAAAAAACTGAGTTTTTTTATTAATAAGTGTGGTCATTGTACTTTTTAACCCCTGCCAAAAACCAGAAAAATTCTAAATTGCCAAAAAAACTGGTCCAGGCCGGCTTCGAACTACAAACCGTCTCCCCAATAGTCTTGAGATAGGGACCAGTTTTAAGTTTATGTAAATGCCATCAATTGTTTTCTTTCTGTCTAGAGACCTGCTCCTTCGACCTTGTGATCTCGAACGTCTGTTCTGATCTGAAATAAAACAGTGCAGTAAGATTTCGATTTGATGCCTAACAGTTGAACTAAAAATACAACTTATTTACAATCTTTTGATATTCCAAACATACAACTTCAACATGGCGCAGCCAGCAGAGAAAAAAGGAGGGGGGAAAAATCCATTAAACATTGTAGCATTTTGGGAAGTACGCACACCGGAACCTCCAGTCTATTGGGAAAAGTGGATAATTAAGTTTCACTGGGGGATGATAGCAAAGTACGATATTGATCCCGATGATTTCTATTTTGCGAGTACTCTAAATGTGGCGGCTATCGGGGCGTTGCCTGAAGAAGTAACTGGGAAAAACCGTCTCGATTCAGAAAAGAAGTTAAAGTCTAATCTATATCTATGTATCGGAGACGAGGCGCAACGGATATTCAAAGCACGGAAACCGACGGTTAACATCAAAACTGAACGGTACCCACGGGTTCTAGATGAGATGCAAAACGTGTTCCAAAGAGAGAGGAATGTAACACATGAACGGGGTCTTTTCTACGGAAGAAAACAGCGTGAGAATGAAACGTTTGAAAAATTCCATGCGGAACTAAGCGCCCTAGCAAGTAGATGTGATTTTGCAAATGCGGCCGAAAATGTTCGTGACATTTTCATTATGAATATGCGGGAGTCGGATTGCCAACGAGAATTATCACGATCAACTAAATTACCTGAAGAAGTCTACAGGATCGCATTGTCATACGAACGCGGGGAGCGCGCATACAAATCATATACGGGGAGACCAGCTTCAACAGCTCCGGCTATTTCAATAAAACAAGAACCGGTGAGTAACATAAGGAGGGGACAAGGATTTTTTCGAAGTCGCGGACGTGGGGGACGTGGAGGATACACCCAAGGACCAAGTAGTAGTGGAGGAAGCGGAAATAATCGTAGGTGTTACAATTGCGACGCACCAAATTTTACCCTGGATCATATTGCGAGCTGTCCTGCAAGAGGAGCAACATGTAACTCATGCCGAAAATTGGGTCACTTTGAACGAACATGTCGAGGAGTTAGAAGAGGTACTAACCATTGGAGGGGACGAGGACGAGTCGGACTGGTTAGGGAGGAAAATGAGCATCACCAAAGTACACAAAACGTAACTGACTTGAACGAAGATCCAGTGTCGTGGGTCAATCAGCAGGGGTGCGGGGAAAACGAATCCATGACGTCGGGATCGGACGATTACATGGTAATGTCAATCCACAGGAAGAGGAATGAATCCGAACTAAAGCTCCCTGGGGCCCGCGTGCAGGTTGAAGTAGCAGGGAAGAAAATGTGGTTGTGGATCGATAGTGGATCCCCAGTGACCATTTTTAGCATTAACGACCTAAAAGCAACGTTAGGTAAGGCGAATATTCAACTAAAACCTTCAAAAGACGAATTCCTGGATTATAACAACAAACGAATAAACATACTGGGGAAGGTAACAGTGATGATGTCATTAAACGGCTGGGCAGCACCAGCACAAGTGTCGGTTATATCCGGGAATCATCAGTCCATCCTGGGGCGGGATCTTATGGGCACCCTGGGCCTCGAGTTAGTCCAACGGAAGAAAGTGATGGGAATCACAGGGGAAGGAATCAGCCAAGAGGAGGAGAAATATGACGAATTGCAAACATACTTCTGTAAGTTGTACCCAAATTTGTTTACTAGGATAGGGCAAATCCGGAATGCAAAAGTAAGAGCTGAATTTTTTGACAATTTGAGGCCCATACAACAAAAAGGACGCAGGGTGCCGATTAGTCTACAAGATAAGGTGGATAAAGAAATTCATCGGCTAATAAATGAAGGGCATATCGTAAAATTACAAGAATGCTCAGATAAGTATTTCGTCTCTCCCATCGTAATTACAGTAAAAAACGATGGAAGTATAAAAATAGCACTGGAATCAAGAGAGTTAAACAAGCAGGTACATAAAAATAAGTACCAAATGCCAAATATTGACGAATTAATAGACGGAGTAAGCCAGATTATTGCGGAGAAAAAAGCGGGGAATGTATATTTTACAACGTTGGATTTCACATATGCGTACGGACAAGTCGCTTTAGAACAAAAAACGAGCGAACAATGCAATTTCTCACTTGTTGGTGGGAAATCCACAGGAACTTATCGTTTTAAAAACGGATTTTATGGGTTGACGTCAATGCCGGCGGAATTCCAAAAAGTAATTGACAATTTGCTTAAAGAGTTCCCTCAAGCTAACGCGTTCATTGATGACATCTTAATTTCTTTGAAAGGAACTAAGATCGAACACATCGCGTTGATCGAGAAGATATTGAAAAAGCTGGATATTTCTAATGTTGCTTTAAAGTTACAAAAATGCGAATTTGCGAAAACAGAGTGCGAATGGCTCGGATTTCGAATTGGGGAAAGTGGTATTACACCCTTAGTAAGAAAAACACAAGCAATTGAAGACCTGAAAACCCCTAAATCGCGAAAGCAGTTGAAATCACTGATGGGTTCACTACACAGTTTACCCAAGTTTTTACCCAAACTCGCAGAATTAAGTGCACCGCTAAGGCCCTTACTAAGTCAAAACAACGATTTTGCTTGGACTAACGTTTGCGAAAATGCATTCCAACATTTAAAATCGCTAGTGAAAAATATTGTCAAGTTACGACATTTCGACATTCACCGGGAGACTAGAATTATTTGTGACGCTAGTCACGATGGTTTGGGGGCCGTGTTAGAACAGTATGGGGCATCAGGGTGGCATCCCATTTCGTTTGCATCGCGTTATCTTAACCCGGCTGAGAAAAAATACTCCACGAACGAATTAGAATTACTTGCGGTAGTGTGGG